CTTTGGATCTGCAGGACCGGGCCCTTCACATGCTCCAGCAGTTCGTAGATGGGGTGGATATTGGGGTGGGCCAACTCGAAGCTCTGGTTCTGGGCCTGCGTGGTAGCTGGCTTGGTCAGCCTGCCATGCCAGCTCTCTCTCACCCAGGGGGAGCTCCCCAGCACGGCCCTGGCTAGCTCCCCCCGTGCCACGGGCAGCAAGGGCTGGGGCCGGTTCTCTTGCTCTCCAGCTGGCCGGCTCGACTGTGTTGCCCAGGTGAGGTACAGGGGGGCCCAAGTGCTGCAGCTGGTGAGGGACAAGGCCAGCTCTCCCACTCTCATGACCCCAGGGCCTCCTCTCATGCCTGCCACAGGTGGCAGGAAGAGGTGACGGGGCAGGGGTGGGGGGACATCTCTCCCTTGCCCATGCTGCCACATGATAGAGGAATCGTGGGGCCAGCTCTCACACACACACACACACCCTCAGGGCTGGCTCACCCCACCACCACCACCAATGGGGTCAGCTCTACTATGCTGAAGCCAGTGAGGGGCAGGGCCAGCTCTCCGGCTCCCATGATCTCATGGCCAGCTCCCCACCTGCCACAGGCAGGGGTGGAGGGAAGGGTATCTCTCTCTCACCCACACCACCTAATGGCATATGAGGGGTGGGACTAGCTCCCCCCCCCCCGTGCTCTCCTTCTTGGGTCCAGATCGTCTGAAGCTGCCCCCCCTCCGCCCCGCGCCCCCTTCAACAGGGCCAGGGCCAGCTGTACTGTGCTGCTCAGGCGAGGTTCAGGGTCCGCTCTCCCAAGGGCTTCAGCTGGTGAGGGAGAGGGCCAGCTCTCCTGCCTGCTGCAGGTGGTGAGGGGTGGCGGGGGTGGGGGTGGGGGTGTCTTTCCCACACCACCACATGGCAGATGGGGCATGGCGGGGTCAGCTCTCCCACTCTCGCGTCCTCAGGGCCAGCTCACCCGAGACCCGGCCAACAGGGTCCCGTTCTACTGGGTAACACACGCTTTTAATCCTAGCGCTTGGGAGGCAGAGGCAGACTGACGTCTAGTCAATATACAGAATGAGTACTAGGACGGGCAACCTAGAGAGACCCCGCCTCAATAAACAAAAGGCAAACAACAAATAAACAAAGAAGAGGTGATATTTAGAGTGGAGGGGGTTTGAAATCTGAAGAGAGTGAATTATGAGTAAGTCCAAATTCAATTAACAGCATGCTTGACACCAACCTGTATTAATTACTTTTTAAAAATTGTGACAACGTACCTAACAGATACAATGGAAGAAAGGGAGGGAGGGAGGAAGGAATGGGAGGGAGGAAGGAAAGAAAGAAGGAAGGAAGGAAAAATTCAGTCTTTCATGGAGGGGGAGGCATGGTGATACCAATCATATTGCTTCCGGTCAGGACCTAGAAAGCAATTAATGCTGGTATACGCCTTGCTTTCGCTTTTTTCATCAGTTCAAGACATCTCATGGATTGATGCCACCTAAGGGGGACTTCCCACTTCAACAGAACCTAGAAACTCCCTTGTGGACACACCTAGGTTTCTCTTCTAGGTCCCGTCAAACTGATGCTACTAACCACCATTCTCCTCATTTCACGAGACCGTGGCTTGCGTTTGTCTCAAGGTGACTGCCATGACTAGGCAAAAAGGCAGTCATATGTCGGTGGCTCTGGACTTGATCCTCGATTTCCTACATGACCTCGAACAACCTAGACTAACCTTATTCTGTCTGGCTGTTCTTTTGCTGGGAACGTGGGTCTGATTGTCACAAAGCGTTCTTACTTCTTTAAGAGACTGCTTTCAGCATCCACATTTCCAAAATCTTCCCCAGAGTCCTCTCCTCCATAGGAAGCAGCCCCAGTGAGCTGTAGAACTGATTGTTGACATACCCGTCTCTCTGGAAATGAATTCCTCAAAGCATAGAACGGCGTCCTATGTATGCATTTAACTGGAGAGACCGTAAGTACAGACAGGCTGTGGTGCCAGGCACCTGCATAAGAAGTCTGCCTTTGCCTCCAATGGCCTTGAGACTTGTCTTAGATCAGTGTGAACTTACAATTTGTTCATCTGCTTTACAGATGTAGTAAGAACACATCATTTCAATACCAACCAAACAAAAGAATCACATATGAAGTACCCAAGCAAGTGAGTGAATCGACGCATATCGATCCAGCTAGAAAAATAGCTCATCTCACTACGGTTAGAGAGCACTAAAGAAAAACCTCAACCGTGAGACAGCTCAGTGTGGAAAGGTGCTTAGCACCAAGTTTGACGACCTGAGTTAGGTCCCTTGTCACATGGTAGGAGAGAGCTGACTCCTTCAATGTTGTCTTCCGACCTGAACATCCATCCACTCAGTGGTCCATGTGCATTTGCAAGCGCACACACTCAAGGGCGCGTGCACACACACAAATAAATATATTTTTTGAAAAAATGGCATCCTCTGGAACTAGAAAAAAATCATCCTGAGTGAGGTAACCCAAACCCAGAAAGACAGTCATGGTATGTACTCACTCATAAGTGGATTCTAGATATAAAATAAAGAACAATCAGACCACAACCCGTAGAACCATGGAGGCTATATATATAGCATGGAGGTCCCTAGGACGACTGTGGCTTATAATAAATTTCGGTTTTACTCAAATATTGAAAGAAAATAGCCAAATGAATGGAAACACATGAACTATGAACCAAAGGCTGAGGGGCCCCCA